TCAGTAGGTACTTGCGCTCACTGGGGGTGTGTACAGACTCCGGAGGGGCTCCTTCAGCCCAAGCGCTATATCAAGCCAAATCATGGCATAAATCACTCAGGCCCACGGCCTATATCAAACATGATGCGGCGTGCATCCCGATCCCATAAATATCCTCACAAATCAGGCCCTCGGCCTCACTCAGTCATAAACCTCTCAAGTCACTCGTGCATTTCAGTAAAAACAAGGCATTCGGCCCAAAACAACATTTATATGCATCAAAATAGAGTCATAAAACTAAATTATACAGTAAACAAGTATAACCATGACTGAGTATAAATTTTCAATCGAAAACAGTGAGAGGATAGTAAGAAAGGGCCCCTAAGGGTCCAAACAGCACTGGCACAATGCCCAAACATGGCATTCAACCCAATTTATAGAAACACTTTCTAAAACATATAAGTATCATATAATTTCCACAAAATATGCAACTTTACAGTTGCTACGGGACGGACCAAGTCACAATCCCCAACAGTGCACGCCCACACGCCTGTCACCTAGCATGTACGTCACCTTAAAATAGTAGAATGATACAAAAAATTCGGAGTTTCATACCCTCAGGACTAGATTTACAATCGTTACTTACCTCAAACTGATCAAATCCCTACTCTGAGATGCTCTTGCCTCTCACTCGGCCTCCAAATGCTCCAAATCTATTCACAATCAGTACAATACCATCAATACACGCTAATGAATTAAATTCCACAAGAAAAGCTACACAATTAGACCAAAACCCGAAATTGGCTCAAACCCGGCCCCCGGGACCATGTCTCGAAATCCGACAAAATTTACAAAACTAAAAAACTCATTCACTCACGAGTCTAACCATACCAAATTCATCAAAATCCGACATCGTTTGGTCCTTCAAATCCTTAAATTACTTCTCCAAAAATCCCAAGCCCTAAACCTTCATTTTCACTAATTACATGATTAAACAACGGAAAATCACCATACATACGAGCATTAGGGCTCAAGAAACTTACCTCACTGATAGCCCTTGAATCACCCTTCAAACATCACTCCAAAAACTCCGAAAATCGACTTGAAAATGGTGGAAATGAACTAAATTCGTGAAGGGTTCTATTTATGGTTTCTGCCCAGGTTTTTCGCACCTGCGGAAAATTTCACGCTTCTGTGCCACCGCACCTGCTGAAAAATTCATCGCATGTGCAGAACTCACTTAGGAGCCCAGGTTCCGCATTTGCGGCCAACCTGTCGCACCTGCGCGTGACACGCCGCATCTGCGAAGCCAGCCTTCTTCCATCCTTCCGCATCTGCACCCCAGGTCTCGCACCTGCGGGCTCGTAGATGCGATAGCCTTCTCGCACTTGCGCATCCTGCCTAGCCCAGCACTTCCCGTACCTGCGAACCCCCATGCGCACCAGCGGCCCCGCACCTGCGACTCCCTTTCCGCAGGTGCGGAAATATCAGTACCAGTACCTTCAGCTGCATTTTCCAACTTCGACAAATCCGTTAACCATCCGGAATCACCCCGACGCCCTCGGGACCTCAACCAAAAATACCAACAAGTCATATATCAACATACAAACTTAGTCGAACCTTCGAATCACTCAAAACAACATCAAAACACCAAATTATCCTCGGATTCAAGCCTAAGGACTTCTAAATTTTCGAATTCGGCAACCGATGCAGAAACCAAACAAACCACGTCCGAATGACCTCAAATTTTGCACACACGTCACAAATGACACTACGAACCTATTTCAACTTTCGGAATTCTATTTCGACCCCGATATCAAATTTTTCACTGCCGACCGAAAATTGCCAAATTTTCAATTTCGCCAATTCAAGCTTAATTCTACCACGAACCTCCAAATTTTATTTCGGACACGCTCCTAAGTCCAAAATCAACTTATGAAGTTAACGGAACTGTCAGAATTGAATTCCGAGATTGTTTACACATAAGTCAATATCTAATTGACTTTTCCAACTTAAGGTTCTCAATAAGAGACTAAGTGTCTCATTCCACTCCGAAACCACTCCGGACCCGAACTAACTAACATGGTATATCATAATATAGCTTAAGAGTATAAAGAAAATAAAAATAAGGGAAACGTGGCTATAACTTCTGAAACGACCGGCCGGGTCGTTACACGCATTTATCCATTAAATCGCCAGTACCGGGTTAAGTTTTTGTTGCCCACCTTCCTCATCAGCACCCCATGCAATAGGGTGGTTATCTACCATGTGCCTATGAAGTTGACCCGTTCCCCCTGTCTTACCTCCGGTCTCATGTTTATAAACTTTCTTAAAAATTTGACATCTTACATAATTTGTATCTTCTTCTAGTCTTTCAAAAAAATTTCAACACTTACTTCTTAATCTTCGATTCCTTTTAATAGGGAGGGGAGGCCTACCTGTATTACCACGGCCTCCACCTCTAGTATTTTGAGTTTGACTAATATTACCAGATGTAGCTGGTGGTGTTTCAAGATTATCAGGTGATTGAATATCATCTAAATTATCATCTATACCATAATTTTCTTGAAGTTGCTCATAATCTATATTTAAATTTTCAGGTGAACTTTCGGAAATATGTGTAAAGCTACTAGAAGAACCAACACCATCTCTTGAATTTTTAGAAGTTTTACTCTTACTACTACCACCCCTACTAGTACATGCTTTTTTGGCTGCTCTAAATATATCCATTATGTAAATTAAATTAAAAAATTAAATTAATAATTCTAAATAATAAAATAAAATATACACCAAAGAAGAGAAAGAGATGGAACGAGTATACCGGGATTTCGGATACCGCACTAAATTTGATATCAAACTTCAGTTGATAGACTGAATATTGATACCATACTTTACTTGAATACTTGATATTTGATAATTATAATTTTATAGTACCTAAAGTAAATATTTGATGAAACTTGAAATAATAAGTAATTGAGAATTTAAAAGCAATAAGCAATATTATCAAAAGAGAATTAGAGTAGTAAGAGAGCAAATTGTGAGGAAAAAAGAAGAACAATGGGGAATATTTATAGTTTTTAAAAGGTTAAAATTATAATTTATCAATTATTAGGAGGGGGCTATTTTCTTAAAATGGTAGGCCGAAATGGACATTTTTGCAAAAAAAATGGCTGTTGCCCAACGATCATTTTTGAATTTGACCGTTGGCAACAGTCAAAATATTAAAAAATAAAATAAAATTTACAACGGTAAACGGGCTGGAAATTTACAACGGTAAACGAGCTGGACCGGGTTGTAGCCCGGTAAAAATCCAGTAAAGGGGAACCGGGCTAACCGGGTTCCGGGGCACCGGTTACCAAAAATTATTCGTTTCCGCCCGACTCTCTCCCCNGCTGGTCCGACCCGATTAACAGGTATAGGTCAAGCTCAGCCAACCATTCCCCGCTCTGCAATCACACCAAGCCCAAAAATGATCTAATAACCATCCGAAACACCCCCAAGGCCCCCGGGACTCCATCCAAAACGTACCAACAAGTCCTAAAACACAATATAAACCTACTTGAAGCCTCAAATCACATTAAACAATACTAAAATCACGAATCATACATCGATTCAAGACTAATGAACTAATAAACTTCCAGCTTCTAAAACTAATGTTGAATCACATCAAACCAATTCCGAATGAGCTTAAAATTTTGCACACAAGTCATATATGATACAACGGACCTACTCCAACTTTCGAAATCAAAATTCGAACCCGATATCGACAAAGTCAACTCTCGATCAAAATTCTCAACCTTCCAAACCTTCAACTTTCCAACTTTCACCAAAAATCATCAAATCAACCTATGGGCCTCCAAATTAATATCCGAACATACGCTTAAGTCCAAATTACTATACGAAGCTATCAGAATCATCAAAACTCCATTCCGGAGTCGTCTATATAAAAATCAAACTCCGATCAACTCTTCCAACTTAAGCTTCCAACCTTGAGACTAAGTGTCACAATTCACTCCAAAATATCTCCGGTACCAAACCAACTACCCGGCAAGTCTCATAACCACAAATGAACATAGAATAAGCAATAAATAAGGTATACAGAGCTACAATACACAAAATAACCGACTGGATCATTACATCAAATCACTGTTTAATAAATAATTTTTAAAATATTTTTAACTCTCTAACCAAATATCGTTTCAAAATAATATTTTTCAAAACCTTTTTGATTAAATATTTGGACAAAACAAACATTATTTGCGAGTGTACCGCCTCGTAGGCATGAAGTATAATAATAATAATAATAAAATAACAAGAAAGAATGTACTCATTTCAAAGAATATATTACAGTTCATTCTTTTTTGAGAAAAATAATTTATAGAATACCAACGACAAGTATGTAGAACATATACCTTCATATTAGTAATTAGCCACTTTTTACCTTTCGATTAGTGTTTAGCCACGATTTAAAAAATTATTAGACTTTAGTCATCTATTTAAATGCGGGTATATTTTGGACAAAAGTACCCCAAACATACTAAACAACTCCACCAATCGCTACTGGAATAAAACTCCATGATAATGGAGTTCAAAAAACTCTCTATAGGTGAAATTTAAAATATACGGTACTGAAATTCAAATATTTATAGGTTCAAAACTCAGTACCTTATTTTGAATTTCATAATACAATCATGGAGTTCTAACTTCTACAAATTGAAACTCCAGGAGGTATCATTGGTGAAAATATTCCTTTAGGTTCAAACCTCAGCAACAATTATTGGGGTTCAAACCTGAGTAACGATCGATTATTGAGTTTGATCAAACCTTATTTTGAATTCGAGGAATCGTTCTAAGATTTTACGCTAGCAAATGCCAAAAATCTTGTTATGTGTTTTAGTTGAGGGGAAAGATACTAATATAGTCGGACCAATAACTAGGTTGCCAATGCATTTCAAAATGCGACCAAACTTTAATAGCACGGCCTTAAAAGTGGCTACGCCAACCAATTTTTCGGCTATATGATTCACACGTAGGTGTATACGGGTCTGGCCTCACCCGTGCCCGCCCGTTTACATTTCCGTAACAAGCCAAATCTTTTTTGGTACTCTCTCAGAGAGGCTTCAATGGAGAAAAAAGGTCGAGGTAGATAGAGTCCTTAAACTCAAAACAATGCCTTTTTCTCTGCAATTCAACTACCCAATCTTCAGCACTTCATGTTCCCACCAGTTAAAACTTCACAATAGTATTAGAAATCAGCCCTTTAAATTCTTGTGCACTTCTCCACAATCTGAAGAAGCTGCAAAAGACTCCTCTGGGTATGAAAAGTATGCCTTCTTTATATTCTTGCAAGGTTTTTTAAAGCAAACTATGATTGATAACGAAGCTCAAAATATTGATATTTCAGTCTTGAATTGGACTTACTGCAGAACACTAGTCTCAAATGAGCTGGAATATAAGTTTTGAAGTTAAGATTGTATCTTTTTTTCTCTCTTGTGGTTACCATTTTCTTTTGATATGGGATTAAGGGCTAATTATTGCTGTTAAACTTATGTTAGGTCCAGTTTTGGTCAGAATTCTATATAATCTGATATATGCCAATATTAATAGTGGTGTATTTTGGTGACTAATTATCTTCAGCCTCTTAATTACAGGGAAAATGGTAATGGGCATGTGATTCTGGTGGAGAAGTACAGGAATGGAACTTCAAAAAGGTATATTTTTCTAGCTCTGTTTCAAAGATTTGCTTCGTTGTCCTTTTACTGAGTTTGTCTTTAATAAAAGGTGTTGTTATCTCTTTGTTGCTCGATATCTACTGATTGAGTGCTGCCTGTGAAGAGATGTACTGATCGAAATGATGGTCAAATATGGAGTTTGTCTGATAATAAAAGGGGTTGTTATCTCTTTCGTTGGATAGGTACATTATAGATAATGACTCTGAAATAAAAATGTTTCTTGAGGAGCATGTGCCCGCAACTACTGGATCCCAGCATCTTGAAATCCCTGTCACGGAGTTATCTTGGCTCCCTAAGGTTATCAAGGATTTTGTATTACCAGCAGGTTTCCCAGGTAACAAACATCATATCGTTTATTTCCATTTTCTTCTTTTCTTTCTATTTTCCATTTTTACTATAACTCTAGTTTTATGTTCCTACATGCCAAGAAGTGTCTGTTTGACGGTTGATATTTTCTGGTTGTTTTAAGGGCTGTAAGTATTTCTTAGATGTTTTATATGAACTGTCGTTGCAGATACAGTTACAGATGATTACTTGGACTACATGTTGCTTCAGTTCCCAACCAATGTAACTGGGTGGATTTGTCATACGCTGGTGACGTCAAGCCTCTTAAAGGCATGTCAATCTTATTCAGGCCATTAGTTCCACTTGGATATCTTAAAGTGTGCTTGTAAAGTCTGCAACTGTTGACAGGATTGTGACCTTCTAAATGATAATCATTAATAAACTAATTGAAACAGAGTTTTAATTAGCTTACAAATTGTTCTCTGCTCACTGGCTCTCATTTTTATCTGCCTCTGGTCTCTCTTTCACTTTTTTTGTCTTTTGACACTTTTCTTTGAGTTCTCCCCTTCTCTATAAGGTTCAACGTTATTCAACGGGTTAGCTTTGTTTCTTTTTCTTTTCTTTTGTTCTCTCTTTTTTCTTATTTGAGTGATGTGGTCCCGTGTGTGTATGTGAATCATGTTATTACACTTAATTCTAGTTGTATTGGGCTTATTAGTTGCTAACATATTTTATGATAGTTGGATTCATCTCTATGTGCTTTCAGTTTGATTCCGACATATCCTATACTGATGTTAATGTCTAACATCCAGGCTGTTGGAGTGGGATCTTTCTCCGGAACTTCTGCAGCTGCTTCTGCCGCTGCTTCTGCTGCTGCCATCAGGTACTCTTCATTTTTATCAGATTTTTATCTGCATGAAATGTGGCCTTGACTTTAAGGAATTCAATATTTGCCTAATATGTTATTATATTTCACGCTGATTGCTGGTAGAAAATTTGGAGAGCATTATTCTTTAAAGTTAGAGTTTAGTGGTTCAATATTTGCCTCATATGTTATTATAATTCATGCTGATTGCTGCTAGAAAATTTAGAGCATTATTCTTTGAAGTTCATAGAGTTTAGTGGTTGTCTTATTGGTTTTGCAGATGGGTTTCAAAGGATGGCATTGGTGCCGTTGGACGCTTTTTTATTGGTCTGGTAGTTTAAAATAAGTATAAGAACAGAGTCAGGTTTAAATTTGTTAGTAAAGGCTGATGTCTTCCAGGTGGGCGGTTCGGCAATCTTTTTGATGATGATCCTAAACAGTGGCGCCTGTATGCAGATTTCATCGGCAGTGCAGGAAGGTATTGCGAATATTCTTCTTTCTTGGGTACATCAAATTTTAGTGGTTCAAGTGAACTGATGGTATCTATTTCTTGTGTGCAGTATATTTGATCTCTGTACCCCTCTCTATCCGTCTTATTTCCTACCTTTAGCATCTCTTGGAAATCTTGCCAAGGTATTTAGCTAACCAAAAATTTAGTTAGTCTTTCATGCGTCCCTAGGATATGATTCCATGAGCAGTAGACTGTAAAAGTTCCCTTTGAATCTGATACATAACTTTCTTTTCTCGAGTTGCATGCTAAGTCAATTCTTTAGGTTTCTTAAGTGTTGGTATTGTTTTAGTAGGCCGTAGCAAGAGGGCTAAAGGACCCTTCATTCCGGGTTATTCAAAACCACTTTGCTATCGCTGGAAATTTGGGAGACGTAGCAGCAAAGGTATTACTTGAATATTTTTGCTGTAGATCAGATCTGATGAACTGGATTTGTATTTTTTTTTTCTTGTATTGATGTTTGACTTCGATAGTTTAGTTGTTTATGTGCCGGTATAGCTTTGCTTTCTTTTCCTTATATTCATGGTGGATGAGCTTTTATGGCGAATCATGAAATTTGTCAATAAATATACATGTTAGAACGGTAGCTTTCAGCTCCATAAATGTGTTAAACTTGTGAGTTCCATATTGTTTCTCCCTCGAGGCTTTCTTGAGTTGGAATGCCAATGAGTAGTGTTTATGAATGCTCCAATTTACTCGTTTGTGCATGTATTTTAGCATTTCATAAGATTAGTAATGGTTCGAAGCTCGGATAAAGGAGGAGAGTCGTAGTAGTTAGATGGGCAGCAAAAAAACAGTCTTATTTGTTCTGTTAAAGACTTGCGCATCTGCAAATGGATAAAAATTGAGATTTAGAGAACCCGTTATCGACAATAATTTTGGTACTGGGATGTAATAGACTGCCCAGAATTGGACCTCCCTCAAATAGATGGATCTGGGATTGATTGTGGACTGAGCAGTAGGCATACTTTCACAATAGTCTTGTCCACAAGCAATTCAATGTTTGGCAGCGGAAAATCATCGCTTGGGAGTCAAAATGTACAACCCTGCTACCTACTTGAGTGGACCTTCAACCAGGCAATGAAGGGTGTGTATAATAGTTTTCTTACTTTCTCTCGATCATGTCGACGCCTATAATTTGAAAGATAAGAGGAAAGCCTTCTATCAAATCCAAAGTTGTAACACAGATAATGACAAATAAAGCATAATAGATACAGAGAATTCATATTATCGTCCCTAACTATTTGGGATTGAGGCATAGTTGATTGATGTATGAGCTACAAATGGTTTTTATGGCTGCTCCAGTGTACTCGGTTAATAATCTCTGACTTTGATCTTGATGTGGAAACTACAACTGCACCTGTTTTGGGTTCTATTACCTTGGCACTTCAGGAGATGGAAAGCTTTAACTAGAACAGTATCACCCATATTGGGAAAGCAATAGCACAAGATGTTGCTACCAACAAAAGAAGCAGACCATCTACAGCAAAACTTAAGGTTGAAATAGAACCTGCTGAGGAAAAGCTCGATGAAGGAAGTGCCTGTGAGGAAAATACCGGGTGAAGCCACAAAGCAAAATAAGCCAAGAGACAATTTAAAACAAATTGAAGAGCAAATCAAATTTATTCCTGTACACAACATGATTTTGTTTCACGAGGAAGATGAAGAAAAAAATGCCGAAGACGATACGGTTCTTGTAACAGAGGATGTTACAAAACCAATCCAATAGTGGGTTGATCTTCATCCATTGGACGATTTATCGCTACCATCTGGTTCATGCATAACACTATTTGGTATAATCGGCACCACCTTTTATACCAAGTTGTGGCTATGGGGGGACGTAAAAGAGGTGTTCAATGAAACAATCTTGGACTCCTGCTCGGATAAAGATTATTCTGATGATGGCCTAGACGAGTACAGAAGCTAGAGGTCAAAGAGATCAAAAGAAGAAAAAAGAAGATTTGCAAAGACTTGAACTTGGNGATTTGCAATGACTTGAACTTGGATTCTTCAGTGAACCAAAAAGGTTATCAAGTTGGTTCACGAAGAAAAATGAAACCATTGCGAAATCTTTATTGGATCCTTAGAAGTTGTAGTCTATCAATGTAGAAAGAATTGATTCTCCCTCATTTCTCCCAAATTTGACAGGCCATAGAGGGTGTTTGATCTAGTCCCCCTTATGTTTTTGTATGTTAAAAATATGAACTAATACAGAGTTTAGAAGAAGACTGATCTATTACATCTGATTTAGTAGATAATTGTTGGAAGATGTGAAGATACTAATTAAAACCAAAAAATAGGGGCAAGATCCATGGAATACATGGACAAGCAGTCAAGAGAACAGTTACCATTCCTGCACTTTGCAAAGATAAATTGCTATTCACGGAGGCGTATGTAGTAGTGTTCTAACTATCAGTATTTCTGACACGTAGTATAGGTATATATGTGAAAAACTGCTCTCTCTCTCTCTCTCTCTCTCTCNGATTCCTGCAAATTTAAGTTCTATATTTCTATGTTGTCAGGTTTTTTAGTTGGTATGATTATCAGTATAGCATAATCTAGCATCCATGTTTTTCTGAAACCAAATAAGAAAAAGTATAATTATGTCCAAACACACATAGTAGAAGAGATAATTGACACATTTACACTATAACCAAGCAACAATGATATGTTTTCTATTCCCGAAAAAACTTTCTTGAGCACCAAACATGGTATTATAATTGTTTCTCAAGTCTCAACTCGTTTGTTTGATCACGTTATAGAGTTTCTTATTGTAACATTTTGTATAACCTAATGTTGATGACAGGAGGAAGTTTGGGAAGTAGCTGCTGAGTTGGTAGGTCTTGCTCTCGGCATACTAGCCTTGGTATGGCATATGTTGCTTTATATGGTTAAAAGTTAGGTCCCTTCATATGATAACTTTCTAAGGTTCCAGCCAATATAATCCTCATTTTATCCATAATAGCAGATTTGTATTTTACTTTTTCTTTTAAACTTTTAATAACAGAAAATTTAATACAGGATACACCTGGTATCTCAAAGTCTTATCCTACATTGGCACTAACATGGTTAAGCGTGCGGATCCTACATCTTTGGTTTCGCTATCAGTCTCTTTCAGTTCTGCAATTCAACACAGTGAGACTTTATTCTTAGACCTTGATATATTATTTTGTTGCCAAATATTAATTAATATCAGACTTTGGCACTACTATCAAGTGGTTTCTAATTTCTTAACACTTTTGCCTTATCTTCGTTTTCTTCTTGTGGGTCCTGAGAGCCCAATGTTTGATATATTGGCTCAGTCAGGTTTCTGAAAGCTTTCTTTAAACAATAAGATTTCCACAAGCTTCGCTTTCTCCGTATATCGGAAACAATTAATCAATTACAATGAGCGATAACGAAGGAGAGATTTGGAACAAAGCAACAATCTTCTGAATTTTCCTTGGCAAGTAGATTTCTGATTACATCTTGTTTCGTGCAGATAAATCTCAAGCGGGCTCGAATATTGGTGAACTCCCATGTTTTACACTGTACAGTTCCAGGTAAACTCAATCGTGGTTTCTATACAATCTTTAATCCTATGCTGTTAACTCAGGTCTGTTACTCCGTGTGGACCAGGAATCGATGAATGCAATAGGATGGAGAGCATCTTATTGTGGCAAAGATTTTTAAGGCCTCGAATTATTTTTGAGGTATCTTTGGAGGAGATGGTTGATGGGGGCAATTACAAATCCATGGTATAGCCTTCTTTGGGGAATATAACATTGTGACAATTGGGCTGATTTATCCTTACGAAAGTAACTTATACACCGGGTAGATAATAGCATAATAATGACACAATAGTTGCTAATGCCAGTTTCATGAATTCCTATGTTTTTAATTCCATAAGGATAAATCAATTCTCCTTGCATTATGTTAAATTTAGGGAAGTACATAAATAGGTGATTACTTCAAGAGGTTCTATCAAAACTATGTTTATTTTGAGGCGGTGGACTTAGCTTTATGATGGAAATTTACAGCTATGTTGCTCGGACTCTCCGAAAATGTTTCCAGGTGCGTGTTGGATCCTCCAAAAGTAGTATATTTTTGGAGGATCCAACACGGGTGCGGCAGCATTTTGGAGAATCCGTGCAACACAGATTTATAGTAGATTTTACCTGTTTGCTTCAACTACTTGTCCTGTTAGGCTCCTCGTAAGTTTTCAGATGATCGCCCTTGCAATGTTTAAGAGCGGTTAGTATAATTAATCTGATTATCTATCCCAAAAGGATCCACATCGATTTTTGCTTTGCTACAATTTAACATTTTCAAGTCCTCTTGCCTGGTGGAGCAACGAGGGAACAAAGACATGGTCTTCATTTCATATATTGCAATTGAAAAACCTTCCCTTTCTTTTTTCCCCCTTCATTTTTTTTTTCATAAGTAAATATAAGAACCTTTGAGAGCAACTTTCCCAACCTTACTATCATATTTCCCTCGGTGCATAGTAGCATGACTCCCTGAATGTATATCTGATAGCAGAAATTGACATTGAGTTTAAGAGTTTGGATCTAGATATCTTATATGCAAACTTTCAATCTCAATGTTAATTGGCTCCTGTCGAAATGTAATGTTTAAATAGCTTCTTCTTTTGCATAACTCTGACATTGAAAGTGTCATTTCAGACCTCAGGATCTAACGAGAAACTAACTGCTCTGCTCGTACAATCTGCAAATGGATTTATAGCAATTTTTGATCTCCTGATGAATTAAAGAAATGAATAATATATTTTACTGTGTTCCTCAGAGAAGTCAAATTCCCTGTATTCTTGAGTGATCTTTGGTTCATTCTGCTGTTTTGTATGCAGCAGATCAAGCAACTCCTTAATCTGTACAAGGAGGAGAAATATTTTCTTGTAGTAAATCAGCAAAAGCCAAGAGATTTTGAGGTCTTTGTATCTTTCAAGGTATGCACTTATACTCTGCTTAAGAAACATAGCTCTCACTTACTAGTGTTGCTCAAAGCAGAAGTGCTAAAAAGCAACCAGGTCCATTGGATTTGAAGTGAAAAGCGTGAACTGAAAGGTCACACTTCTCTAAAGTGAAGCAGACAATTTATGAAAAATAAAAAATACCAAAGATACATGAATTTAGTACTAACTTCAGCATTCAATATATAATCGATATTAATCCATCTCTTCGAAGTTGAGATTCTATGAACCAATCCCTTCTCGTCAGGATCAGTTTGTGCATGGCTTTCACCCATGAAGTGATAACCTTTTGTTTCGTCGCATCAAACAACGGAGCGATGACTTTATATGACACTGTCACTTGCAGTACTTATTCTTCTCACCTCCTGCAGGAAGGAGCCACAAGCCTATCAGTGTTACGAAGTGTATGGCAAACCTACTGGCTATATCAAAACTGGGGCTGGTCGGACAATATCTTTGATCGGCTTGAGCAAAGTTTGGTAGAATTGAAGCATAGGTTTCCTGATCTATTACAACAACTAATTGAAGCTGGATGGGATACAAATAATTTAAGTTTAAAGGTCCCGAAAGAAATGTCGATTGAGGAGCTTCCTGCACTGTAACACCAGGGAATGCATCTGTCTTATATGATCATACTCCAAATTCCTGGCACTTACCTTTTTGCCGGTCTGATGGTTCGTCACCTCATTCGTTGGAGGGAAAAGTTCCAAATCTATCCCTCTACTATATGATAATATATTAATTTAACCCTCCGTTATCTTGGGGTCAATTCATACCCTTGCCGTTAGTAAATTATTTCTTTATTTTTTTTCCTTGACTTTAACGGAGCCCCAGCAGGGATTGGATGGACTCCACGTGTCGCAATACTTCGGGAAAAAAGTTTAAATTTACTCCTTTAGTTTTGATGAGGGATTAAAACTACCCTCCATTATATTCCTGTTCGAGCTTCGTTGATGTCAAGGTTCAATACGAGACGGTTTGCTAAGTACAAGGGTATGAATGGCTTCAAAGTACAACGGAAGGCAAAATTAAGGTATTTCGTATAGTAGAGGTCTATTTTTTACCCTTTTCCCCTTAATTGAATGTTGCATGGATGACCTTCATGTGAAGTAATCTCTCTGGTTTCATTTCAAGTTCATCTTGTGAACCACTATCCCTTTTGCAGTTGGATGACAAGTTTTCAATGGCCTCATCTCCTAGGAAGAGATCGATGCAAAATGGAGCCAGTTGAATTTTTATAGTAATAAACATTCTCAATAAATTCAATTTTGACGTTTGCATTAGGATAGGCCGGTTATATCACACTCCTAGGGGTGCGGCCCTTTCTCGAACTTTGCATGAATGCAGGATGCTTTGTGAACCGGACTGCCCTTTTTTTCCCATTAGTTGAAACAGGCGGAGGTTAAAAAGGACATGTACTTGAGAGCAAAAAATGTGATTGCTCCTGCATTATATGCACAGCTTCTTGGCATTGCCCTAGCATTTTTGACTTTTGAGCACCAGTTTAACTAATATCTATCGGCAATATAAGGAAATTTTTGCACAATTAGAACACCCAAAAGATATTAAGGTAATAACCACCCATAAAAAAAATAGAATTTATAATCTTTAAAATTAAAGCAATTTACCTGCTACAATAGGTAAATGTCACGTAGTAGTGCAAGAATTAACTACTTTGTCAATTGTATGCAAGTTAAACTCCATTACTGAAGAGGGTAGGGCTTATTGGTATTTTTCCGTTTGCTTTCCAAATCGGATTACTTAATTAAAATGAAACTTTAGAGCCAACTTGATTTTATTAAAATTCTTTTTTAGAAAATTTTGAACTGTTTTTGCAAAAAAAAATTGATAATAAAATTCTTCTTAACTAATTGAATAAACGACTTTCACATAATTGATAAATATAGTTGAATTCACTGTAAGGTATTTGAAATCGAAATAGAAATTTACTAACGGATAGGACGGAAGGAGAAAATAGATCCATCTCCTATTATCCACTTTTTCGTATTATTATTATGTGTCGACAATGTAAACCTAAGTTATATTGAATTATTACACAGGGAACAAGTAATTTACCCATAAGTTTTAGGTTTTAAAATTTAAAGTAAAAACTTGCTAGACTTTACGAGCAAGTTTAGTTTCTTTTCCCATCTCAATGTGGATTAAGTTTTGTGTTAAATCTTTCTTACAAGCCGTAAAGTTTTCCCACTACAAGTAGGTTTTTAATAGACTAATCCCTTCTTTAGTTGGAATTGTTATGTCATAATTATCTATATAAACTGATGTAATTCACATCAAGTACGTATAATCTCTAAACATCTTTTCCATTCTTCTCATTTCAAAATCCATCTTCTTCGAATTATAGTGTTCTATCTTCCTTTCCAAAGCTTTCTTAACTAAGTATCAATGGAGAAATCAGCCACAAACACTAAAATTGATGACCAAACCAATGACGACCCTAATCACTACAATTTGGCCTTGGGGATAATATTAATTGTACTGGCTATAGCATTGGGTGTTGTCCTTTCTTTTTATTTGTTCTTCCCAGCAAAGGTTACTAAAGAAATCCAATACCCTAAGTTTCGTCTTATATATGCCTCTTCTTCATTACCGTGATATGCAATGCGCCACCTTCAGTTTTCGACAATCCTGACAGTTGGAAACTCACTTTCTTAGTCAAGAACCCAACCAATGATTATAATTTCTTATATGATGACTTTGATGCCAAGATTACCTACAAGAATATAGTTCTTTGGCAAGCTAATAATTCTGCTAAATTTTATAAAGACGAAAATGCTCAAAACTTCGTTGATGCAATTTTTGGTGCTTTGCCGGAGAGTTATAATGAATGGATGACTAACACTGTTATGAATGATCTTGCTTCTGGTCTTTCCACAAAATTTTCAGTAAATTTAAATGGAAAAGTTCAAATAAGCCACTATGAGGCACAACGTAATTGTGGAAAATTACAAGTATATTGTGAGGATTTGGAAATTAATTTCTCGCAAGGTTCCAGCATTGGAATGTTGACGGCTACTTCAGATGCTTGTGCGGTACATTTGCAGAAATCAAGTTGTTGATTGAAGGTGTTCGGGCTATATGAAAACATAGTTTTTGTTTACTTTAATAGAGTGGAGTAATATTTTTCTATATTTGTAGTGAAAATTATGACAATTCGTTATGTTCCAGTTCTTATCTACTTTTTAATCCAATGTTTGAGATCACATATTTGTAATTTTAAATGTATGACATAATTTTAATATTCTCTTCAACAACATTCTTCTGCGGTCTTTATTCAAATTTTAGCATCCTTTAATTAATTTAATCTGTAAAATAAGGAACAGAAATTGGCATTATAACACAATAATCCACAAAAGAGTGCAAAGTACTGATAAAAATGAAGTGTGTCTAATGTTGATAGATCAGTGATCAGCTCCTTATAGGCAGCTGATAGTTCTTTGCCATTACACAAATGTTAAACTGAGCTAATCAAGCCATAACAAAGCCAACCTAACTACTCTGGCAACTAAACCTGGTTTTACAAAATTGGAGCTCCAGGCAATAAGCAAGATTATTAATTCTCTTGCTCGTCGAACTAGTGCTTCAAAATGACATGAATATTAATTAAGAGATCAATTACCTTCAAAGAATCAGAACATCTACAATATGGTGCAGTACATATCTAGGATTCTGTCTTTTGTCTCTCGCGGTTTTCCTCCATAACTCTTTGGAGCTCTTTCTCACTTCTCGCTATCAAACGCTTAACAGTGTCAAAAGTGGTAAGCCTAATGTTGCAGGAGAAAATGAAGAGACAAAAAAAATGATGTGTTAGGTTAGGATGTTAATATCATCGTCAATGATCATTGCCTGGTAATACTAGTAGTAACTAAATTCCTTCTTATCGGTCCCCTTGGAGAACTGTTTGTTCCATCAGGCATGAGCTTACTTACATTACTGATTCGAGCCAGCATAAAACTAGTCAATTTATATAAATCTTTAGTGTAATCATCTCATGGAACAAACATGACACTTTATGAATGAATCAACAACGTAAATATGTTTTTTTTTTTGTTGAATGGCAAACAGAGATTCAATGGGCTGAGAAATACTGCAACGGGAAGACAGCTACTGCAAACATCTACAGAATGACACTAGCTGGAGCTGTGTACTATTTATGGTAAGAGAGGAACAATAGCGTCTTTCAACGCAAGCAGAGATCTTCAGATATACTAGTGAAACTGATTATACAGGAGGTTATATTCAGAGGTAGCATGCGGCCAAAATTAGCTAGGAAGATTCACGAACTCAATTTTTATCCTAGGTAATTGGTAGAGGTTGAGGAGTTAGCTGTGTAAGGAGATATAGTGGAGATGATCTAGTCTCAACTCTAATTACTGGGTGTTGCCAGTTTTAGATATGTTTTCTTTTGTCTTGAGCTGTACATATTCTTTACAGGTAATAAAATTGTTTTAATTACCAAAACAAAACGTGCTTATCTAAACTCTTAAGTCTTCTGCGGATGGCAATTATAACCGTTTAACTATAACTGAAAAAAGAAAGGGTTCATTTAAACAATCAGAAAGAGTGTTAGGTTGATTAACATTCTCAGTTTAGAAAACTTAAATCCCCTCTCGAGCATGATCATGGATTTCAAAAACTATGATACAATCAGATTTTGTTTCACGACATGATTTTGTTCAAAAACTTGAAGAGCAAATCAAATTTATTCCTGTACACAACATGATTTTGTTTCACGAGGAAGATGAAGAAAAAAATGCCGAAGACGATACGGTTCTTGTAACAGAGGATGTTACAAAACCAATCCAATAGTGGGTTGATCTTCATCCATTGGACGATTTATCGCTACCATCTGGTTCATGCATAACACTATTTGGTATAATCGGCACCACCTTTTATACCAAGTTGTGGCTATGGGGGGACGTAAAAGAGGTGTTCAATGAAACAATCTTGGACTCCTGCTCGGATAAAGATTATTCTGATGATGGCCTAGACGAGTACAGAAGCTAGAGGTCAAAGAGATCAAAAGAAGAAAAAAGAATATTTGCAAAGACTTGAACTTGGATTCTTCGGTGAACCAAAAAGGTTATCAACTTGGTGAAACCATTGCGAAATCTTTATTGGATCCTTAGAAGTTGTAGTCTATCAATGTAGAAAGAATTGAGTCTCCCTCATTTTGACAGGCCATAGGGGGGTGTTTGATCTAGCTAGTCCCCCTTATGTTTTTGTATGTTAAATTTATGAACTAATACAGAGTTTAGAAGAAGACTGATCTATTACATCTGATATTTAGATATCTGTCAAGATAATTGTTGGAAGATGTCAAAGGCGTGAAGATATTAATTAAAACCAAAATAATATAAAAAAGGGGCAAGATCCACGGAATAATATGGACAAGCAGTCAAGAGAACACTTACCGTTCCTGCACTTTGCAAAGATAAATTGCTATTCACAGATCCGGATGTAGTAGTGTTCTAACTATCAGCTTTTCTGACACGTAGTATAGGTATATATGTGAAAAAATGCTCTCACATACATACATACCTACTTTTAATAGTGCAATAAGTTCGGTGCTGAGAACCTAAGGTCGATCTCATCATATTTAAATTCTGGATCCACCTCTTGCTAGATTACATACTCGAACAACAAACATAGCAAGAGACAAAGGCGAATATAGTACTATAAGTACGGGTTAAATTGAACGCATAACTTTCGATAAGGAGCATAAATTTATATGTAAAACTATTAAAATTAAAATAAATAATAGATATAAATCCATAACTTTAAAATTATAATGGGTTCAATGCTTAAAATTTTAAAGTTGAACCCATAGAATTTAAATCTTGGACCGCCACCTATTTTCAAACAAAACCAGACTAGCAAAACATCAGTGAGTATTCTCCATATTCAACCATCATTCGATCAATACATATCGAGCCAGAAACAACCCCTTTTATTACCGGACAAAGTCCGTATAAGGACAGCGAAGCAAATCTTCGAAATAGAACTAAAGAATATACCTTTTTGAAGTTCCATTCCTGTACTTCTCCATCAAAATTACATGCCCTTTTATCATTTTACCTGTAAATAAGAGGGTGGAAATGCTTAGTCCACAAATACACACCATTATCAATATATCATTCCAAGATGACCCAATACCGACACTAAACCTAAAGGTAAGTGTAACAATAATAACTAATCCTGAGTCCCATAAAAAAAAAAATGGTAACCCAAACAATAAAATGATAAAAAGATATAATCTTTACATCCAAACTTATGTTCCAGCTCATTTGAGATATATATAGTATTCTGCAGTAAGTCCAATTCAAGACTAAAAAATCAATATTTTTAGCAACGTGATGCTCCTTGGTCAGATGACCAAGATGATAGCACCACGTATGATCAAGAAAATAGTAACCTATAATCAGATGAAAAGCATGAACGCTAATCACATGATAACCATGAGATCCGACTAATTTGTGATTGAGACGTAGTTAATACAGTCAATGGGGTCGATTAAAGAAACTGCTATTTGGGGAATACGTGTTTTGGAATTGAAGAACAGAGTTAGTTTGACGAGGAAGTGTAAGAAATATGCTTTGGAAGCTGCTCTCTCTAAAATTATTTTTGTGTTTCAGCTTAGCTTAACAGTTACGTAGTATTTAATAGTGAACTAGTCTCTAGGTAGGAGTTTATTAATTTCACCAGATTTTGTGCTAATTTTAGGTCTTTTAAGTAAAGTCCAAATTGAGTGAAATAAAATAGAATTTTTAGTTAGAGTTTCTTTTTACATCTATTTTATTTTCCTATCATCTCCCCCTGATATTTCCCAAAGTTTCTTTTATCAAGAACCAACAATTGGTATCAAGAGCCATCTTCTTAAGGGACCTAAGTAAAATCTTTTCTTGAGTGAGATGGAGACTGAAACAAGTTTTTCTCAATTGGCTCTGTTTTTTATGGTGAAAATTACTAACTATGAGCAGTGAGAATGAAGACTTACTTGGAGGCTTTAGATCTTTGGGAGGCCGTGGAAGAGGATTATGATATTCTTCCGCTGCCTAGCAATCCCACCATGGCCCAGATCAAGAGTCACAAGGAAAAAAAATCAGGAAATCAAAGAGGAAAGCAACTTTGTTTGTTGGTGTGTCTGCAACTATTTTCACGAGAGTTATGGCTCTTAAATCAGTAAAAGAAATTTGGGATTATCTGAAGAAAAAATATAGAGGAGATGAAATAATACGAGGCATGAAGGTGTTGAATTTAATAAGGAAATTCGAGTTGCAGAAAATGAAAGAATCTGAGACCGTCAAAGAATACTCCGATCGGTTGCTTGGCATTGTTAACAAGGTAAGGTTGCTTGGTACTAAATTTAAAGATTCAAGAATTGTTGAATCTTTTTTTTGTTACGGTGCCTGAAAATATGAAGTATCCATAACTACCTTGGAAAATATAAAGGATCTATCCAAGATTACCTTGGCAGAATTGTTAAATACATTGCAGGCATGAGAGCAAAGGAGGCTTACGAGGCAAGATGGTATGGTTGAAGAAGCCTTGATAGCCAACCACAAAACTCAAAGCAACTGTAATAATGCAAAGAAAAATTACCCACCTTGTCAGCACCATAGCAAAAAAAGTCATCCACCATTCAAATGTTGGAAGAGGCCAGATACAAAGTATAAAATTTGCAACCAACTTGGTCATGGAGCTATAATTTGCAAAGGCAAATATCAAAAGTATGAAGCAGATGCTCAAGTCACCAATGAAGAAGAAAAAGATCACTTGTTTGTGGCAACTGTTCTTTCAACCAAGAAATATGATTTTTGGTTGATTGATAGTGGTTGTACAAACCACAAGACATATGGCAAAAATCTTTTCAAAGAGTTCACGTCTATGGAAAATAAGAAAATCAGAATTAGGAATGGTAATTATATTCTTGCTAAAGGAAAAGGAATTATTGCAATCTCAACAAATTCAGGTACTAAGAAAATTTCAGATGTTCTTTATGTTCCTGGTATTGATCAAAATTTATTGAGTGTTGGGCAACTAATAGAAAAAGGATTTAAAGTATTCTTTGAAGATAAATATTATTTTATTTATGATGCAACTGGACTTGAGATTTTAAGGGTTAAAAATAGAAGTAAAAACTTCTCATTTGATCCAACAGAAGAAGAAAAATGGAGCCAAAAAATCTACAAAGGGCAGATAATCCTCCAATTGAGGACATATGTGAAAATGAGGCAAAGAAGAAGTTGTCAATATTTCAAAAAAAATAAAATCGGGAAGAAAGTTAACAAGCCTCAAGGAAAAATGCAAATATGGAAGAAAGTTGACAAGTCTCAACGCAAGATGCAAATGAAGCCGAAAAAAGAGCCAACTTATTTCATTGACAATCATGAGATGCAGCAAAATAGAAAAGTGAACTCGATTTACTGCAAGATCAGTTGGCAGATTTACGTACAAAGTCGATTCCAGTTAAAGGTTTACAAGGCATAAATTCAAAATTTGCAGCTTCAAAAGTAAGGAGGAGTGTTAGAAATATGCTTTAGAAGCTGCTCTCAATAAAATTATTTTACTGTTTCAACTTAAGAGTTATTTACTGCAGTAATTTAGTTTGAATTTTAAATAATTTTGAACTAGTCTTTATGAGTGAACTAGTCTCTAGGAGTTTGTTAATTTCATCAGATTTTGTGCGAATTTTTAGATCTTTTAAGTTAATATTTTTCTTATAAATTGAAGTCAAGATGCAGTGAAATAAAATATAATTTTCAGTTAGAATTCCTTTTACATCTATTCCCGTACACTGCTTTTATTTTCCTATCATTTTCCTCTTATAAATTGAAGTCCAAATGCAATGAAATAAAATATAATTTTCAGTTAGAGTTCCTTTTACATCTATTCCAGTATACAGCTTTTATTTTCCTATTATTTTCCCCTGTTTGTTTCCCTAAGTTTCTTTTGTCAAGAACCAACAGGAAGATTCAAGGGGAAGTTTTTGGAGCTGATACCCAGCATGCCAATGCCAAACTCAGATACCCAAGAGAATATGCTGGTAGCTGGTGCTTGCTTTTAGATAAGACTATCTTACACTCCCTAGTTTTCAATTTAAGTGTTTAATTTTTTCCTGATTCTTGTTCAGTGGACACATTGGCACCTCGCTACTGCTCGACAAATTGCTTAAAATCATCATCTGTGAAGTAAACTTTCAACTTCTCCAGGCTTTAGGTTGCTTTGTCTTTCATTTCTGGTTCATGAAACTTAGAGATATTATATTTTAGTGCAGGTTTATTATCAAGCATTTATTTTCATGAGAAGAAAGCTAGTATAAAATGTAATATAGTGCATACGTTGCAAGTTCTCATTCACTATCCTTGGTCATTATACAATTGAATCCTAAGTAAAAATTGAGATTTGAGGTGTACTGATTAACAGACGGCATTTTATAGTTGAGAGGTTATTGCCTTTCTTTTAACTTTTTCAACGTTTAATGTTGACAGCTGACATATATTCCCTACTTTGCAAGAGGGATTACTGATGTTGAATATATGAATTAAACACGGATAGAGTCTGTATCAGGTCATGTTGTTTAGCCAATTAAACTTTTGACCATAAAAACTAAAAGAGTTTGTTGGTTATGGCCAGTAAAAATACACCCATGCTTAGCGCAGAATTTTACTTGTTTTTCCAAGATCTCGTGCTTCTGCTTATCACTTTTATATCCAGGGAGTCTGTCCATTTGTTGTTTAGCCAATTAAATTTTAGGTAGAAAAATCTTGGTTTAACGCGCACCTCAGGTGCCTGTGTTATATAAGCCAACATTCAAACTACTCAAGCTCCTTTGATCAACGACTATTCCTTGCATTCAGAGTGCAGATAAGAATCAACAAAGATCTGAAGTCAGATAAAAGACATACCATATATATATATATTACGTATCATCATATTACATATACAAGTTCATTCAAGTTATGTAAACAAGTGGATGCCACTGACTACCAGCAGAGTTGAGTTTCAGCAAACTGCGTGACCAAACTAGGTAACAGAAAATACAGCAAAAAACACATATGTTCACTCAACCCTTGTCGGATGGAAAATTAGTACAAAAACTGAGTGTTGGAAGCAAAATAGCTTCAATCATCATCCTCATCTTCCTCCTCCTCATCATCCTCCTCCTCTTCTTCTTCACCCTACATATTGTCGAGCACTAGTAAGTACGATATGAAACATTGTGGCCACTGTGATAAATGAGTCTACTTGAAATACAAAACTATTTACCATCAAAGGAGCATATAGCAACTCTGGTAATGGATCCAAGTCCCAAAAGAGGACAGGCATAAATGGTTTATGCACTACTTAACAACTAGCTCCGTAATAGGAAAGGTACGATATTGCTTGTCTTCTCAAATTTCATTTCAAATCACACAACTGACATCAACTCTAATAAGAATTTAGCAGTAATATTGTCGAAACCCCCCGACATCTGTGATAATTATCATGACTTGCCTTCTCAGGCACAAGGTTCTAGTATTAAATGTTTCTCTTACTATACAGATTCATGTTGGATCAATCATTCTTGAAAGTTAATATTCAAACTTTTACATTGAACATCTGCTCCCTCGGCCAATTTTTGCAATCAAAGTGCGCCTCAAGCATCAGCAAAGACAAAAAAGACACCCTCCCC